CACTTGGCATCATTAGCTTCCACCTAACCTTCTCTTCACTATCTACTTTACCAACAACAACACTACCCTCAAATATTGCTACCATGCCATCACCACCCAGCGCCTGTGCCAACACGAGGTAACGTCCAAACATGCGCAAGTCAGCGAACATCGCCATCAATCTCTTTCCCTCTTGTATTAAAAATCTCCCGTGTTCAGATGCGGCCATCGCTATAAACATTCGACAGTCACTTCTGTGCCGCCCGGCATCACAAACGCACAACCCCCCTTGCCCTTTCACAACTCACGAGATTGCCCACTGAGCGTGCCAGTCCCAATCAGAAAGGTCATCTACTGCGTCCCAGCGCATGCGTTTAGATTAACGCCTTGTTCATGTCACTAAATGTTTCAAGTTTATTGCCAACGGCATTTCGCCCTCTCGATTCGGCCCTGGAAAAGCAGTCACAACCCCTTCATGATCATCATTAACCCCGTGGAAGCTGGAATGGCGGTTTCCCGATTCAACTCTTTTCATCTGCAAGCTCCACAGCGGTTTTCCACCCTCACCCAACTCAGCTCTGCACCTCTGGCAACCCCCGAACGATTTCCCGGTTTCAACCACTTCAGTTGTGCTATATACACCCGGGTCTAACGTGGTTACCCTCACGGCCATTTCGCAAACTTGCTCAACGCCTTTGGTACTTCTCTTTTCTGCACAAGTTCAGGCCAGAGATTTGGAAGACGTTACGCTCGCGGCAACGGGGTTGGGGACGATCTCGTCCTCGGTTGGGATGTCGACAGGCTTCTCGCGGGGTTTGTTCGCCATCTTACCGCCCCCCTTGGTCAGATTACTAGTCGACTGTGCACGAGGGACTGCAACACTGGCCCTCCTGGGGGCTTTGCCACCGATGACGTTGACTGCGGCGTCTTTGAGGTCCTGTAGCATGTCCCAGCTCTCACCCCGAGCAATGCTTGTGGGAAGCTTGGCCGACTTTGCTCGAGCTATGAAGGTCTTTTTGCGGGTTATGGCAGGCGTCTTCCCCGATTTCTTAGCTGGGGTGTCTGCCAAAGTCTTGGCGCTGGCGCTCGGGGTGGCAGGCAAAGTCTTGGCGCTCTTGCTCGCGGTCCCTTCGATAAAGTTCTCGTTCTGTTCGTCCAGCATCTCGGCGCTCTCGCCGGGCACATCCGCCTCGGTCTCCTCAGCGGCCTCGTCGGCCTTTTCGTCGTCGTCTTTACCCCCCAACAATCCTCTGATTTTCATACGCTGGCGGCGCACATCTCCCACGCTCATCTTAAACGCGCTCGCGAAAATGCCTACAACAGCGCCGGGCAGGCCGAATGGAACAAACCCCCTAGCGACGTAGCGCATATGGTGGCCAATCTGCCTGCTCTTCCCTTCTCCGCTGACGCACCAATTGGCAAAGGTCTCGCAGTTGTTAAATAGTAAATTGTAGGTGGCCTCGCCCAGGCGGCTCTCCGCGCGTGCGACGGCCTCTTCGACGGGGAGGCGCGGGGCGGTGGGGCCGGGGACGACGTCATATATGGCGGGGGCATCCTTGCGGAAATTGTCCAGGTTGGTGCGGATAATTTTGGCGCGCCGCTTCGAGCGCGGCTGGACTTTGTCGCGCAGGTGCGAGCCCGTGGTGTAGTGGATGACGGTGCCGTCCGGGCACATGACGCCGTGGTGCCAGTAGCCCAGCAGGCCGAAGTCCGGGCCGCGCCACGCGGCGATTTGAGACATAGCGACGGGGGTGCGGGAGTTAGGACGTGGGGGCGGCGGGTTGCGGAGGGAAAAGGTGTGGGAGGGTGGGGGTGGAAGTGGGAGCGGAGCGTCTACCCAAGGGTATGCGTGGTAGGACGCGGCGGTGCGTTTCCCTTTCGACAGTGCCCACCGGGGTGGCGCACGAGAGGGCGTGTTTGCGTTGCGGGCCTTGATGGATTTGTGTCCAACACTTTTCTGTACAGTAGTGTACGCGCGATGATTGGCTACTTTGAACAAGCCTTACACTCTGATTCGCAAATCACAAGTCGCAAAGTGTACAGAAACACGGTTCCTCTCTTCCGTCGACTTTACTGTATTAATTAACAGCCCGTTAACTATTTTGGCAAACATAAACTATTTTGGCAACGCCTGCTTCCCCTTTTTGCCGCACTTTTCCGAAACCGAGTCACCCAGATCCGCCCCGCCACTTGCTAACCTTGGTAGCTCTGTGACTGATTACAACCTGCGCGCCTTTTCTGTTTTTACCGCCATTCGAAAGCCCATTACTTTCGCTTGTCCGCCAAAAATCCAGGCTGTGCCATGCCATTACAACGTAATATGCTTTTCCATATCGATCGATAGCCGCCCATCATCGCCATTCCGGAAAAGTGCGGCAAAAAAGGGAAGCAGTGCGTTGCCAAAATAGTTTCTGTTTGCCAAAATAGTTAACGGACTGTTAGAATAAAGAGTTTTTTTCGGGACACGGCCATTATTTGAGGTTGCCAAATTAGTTTCCATGCGATTCAGACCTGTAAAAGGGGTTCATTTAAGTGACTTCATTCCCTTGAATGAACACATGATGTGATTTCGTTACCATTTTAAAGCTATATGCGCGCTTTATGTGTTCATTGAGCTTTAAAAAGTCAAAATCGGTGAAGGACTTGGTAAGATACGGCCTTTTCACCAGACATGCCTAGAAAAAAAAAGGTCACTTGCCACATTTTATCATGAACTGTTACCGAGTCACCCGTGAATGGCTGGGCGCTGCAGCTTTATAGTCGCGCAGATAAATCAAACTGTTAATCCGCTGGCATGGAATACACAAAGGGAATGTGATTTATATCAACGATTATCGAGATGGGAATCTGATAATTCAGCGCTGATATTGGATACATGGCATGTACTCCAAATACTGTACAGTACAACGGTACCCTTCTCACCGGCTTAATTTGGGTAATGGTGTAATTTGGGTACCGTTCAAACCTCGAGCCTATGCCTTCCCCGCCTTCTAAAATTTCCACAGTGCATCTCAAACCCCCATACCCCGCACGGGGACAGTATACTCCTCCCCTCTCCACCCTACGCGCGCATTGACTCGGCGGTGGCGGTATGCCACCGACAATGAGACGCAAGCGCTCGCTCACAAGAGGCAAATCGCAAAAAGAAAAGAGGAGGCAGCTCGACCCGCAAAGCCCTTTTCCCTCATCAAAGGAGGCGACAGCGCCTTCAAAGCGTCAGGAAAGACAGGCGTGTCTCGATCGACCACCACACGAATCCAAAAGCATATCAAAGCTCAAACACGGACTCAAAAAATTGCCAAATACAGAAGACAATCACGCCGGTCGCAAACCCGTTCTGCCACATGAGGAACAACTTGTAGTTAACCGAGCTCTTCATGCCGCTCAGCATGGCTTCGCCGTAGACAACAACGTGATTAACACAGTACAGGCCAAAATTTCGGCAGATCGTTGCGCCAGATACGCAAATAGCTTGCCCTCACCAGACGCTATCCTTTCATTTCGAGCTCGTAGTCGCTCGTTCGCTTACCGTGATGCTGAGAATGTCTCAAGCGCACATCGTGCTGCTGAGAATCAGTCTCATATACTCACTCTGGCGAAAGCCCTCCAGCACGTCGAGGAAAATCATCCAGGCATTTTGTTGGACCCACGCCGCATTTAAAACTGGGACGAGACGGCTGTCTCAGAAGAGTATGGTAGAAAAGTCAGGTGTTACACCTCCCCAAATACCCACAGCGGTGGTGCGAGGAGGAGAATACGGGATGCTGGAAAGGATGTGACTGCTGGTATCGCTGTAGCCACTTGTGGAAACCTTGCACCTCTATTTCTCGTAGCTTCCGGGAAGCGAGTTCTGGGCACTGGGAAGGAGCCTCTGAGCGAACTTGACACTACTGACTCGCGAGGAATACCCCACTGGCTTTGTGGATCACAGTGGTCTCCCTCAGACACAGCTCCTCACGTTGCAAAGAATGGATCCGTGGATTAAAACATAATCGTCAAAATTGCAGAACACATAAACAAGCATGCTCGGAAAGCCATCTGCTCAGAAAACACTTTGTGCTTTTGGTGGACGGAAACAGCTCCTGTGACGGGCTACAGTGCCTTAAGACGTGTGAAAGATCGAATATTATCGTTGTGCTGCTCCCCGCAAACACAACGCATATTGTCCAACCTGCGACTAATTGGTGAATCGCTCATTTCAGCGAACAGTGCGTAAGACAAGGGACGAATTGCTCTCAATGAGCCATTTATCATGGGCGACTACCTCTTACAAAACAAAACTGGCAGTTGCAGACCACCAGTCCATCACACCCGCCGATGCTCGACCGTCGTTCGTGAAGTGTTGTATTTGGCCTATGGATTACCGTTTTATATACCTTTCTCCCTCTGATAGTGCTCCAAATGGCCTCGAAACAAGATCAAGTACTTCATATCCAAGTACAGGCCAGCAATTTGTCAATTGGACCTCACATAGGGTCATGCCGATGCAAAACCTCAAACTACAAAAAAAAGAATGTCATAAACTGACTGACGGCAGGCCACTCGCCTCCCGCGCTCTTGCACAGGTTTCTTGTCTTCTCCAGTCCTATTAAGGAGTCCAGAACATATTATCACACGAAATCCCTGTCCATAAACCGGCACCCTGCACTCGCACAACACGTAAAATAGTGGAAATGCAGGGAGCAGCTGTTGTTACTTTGAATGTTTCTCAAAGGCTCTCGGAGGTTGACGAAACTTCAAATCGCGAACACGAGAGCTCACAGGCTATCAAGACGCACAATAGGCTGATGCGGAGGGAGTCATTTTGTGACAAAGAAAACGTAGATCCTGCTGGAGAGGCGAAGGCTACTCGAAACCTAGAGAGCAGTTTTCGGATTCTTTAGATGATGTTCCCCTGCGTCAGTGGCCGACAGGGAGTCGGTCTAGTGTCAAGGGGAAACGGGAGAGTCGCGATTCCGGTCCGCAACATGCCGCAGCACAACGTCTTCTCGGTTTGTCGCAGCCTAGGAAAATGTTCTGCGGTAGGGCCCCAAATTGAGCCGAATGGTACGTGGAGCAGTCAAAGAGAGATTTTCTGGTACTGAAAATCAGGCCAGTGCAGGGGTAAGATGGCCGAGTTTTGGAAAATTCTAAAGTTACCCAAATTGAGCCGATGAGAAGGGTACTGTACCAGTTGAGAGGCCATTGATTTGGTTTTATCAACAAGTACCTAGCTGGAGCATTAGGAATGCAGTAGCTCTGCAGTAGCGATTTAAGTAGAGAAGATTGCGGATAGATATCAAGATTAACCAACAACAAACAAGAACATGAACTCAAAAAAACAAAACAACGCAAAGCCTTGATGCTACGACCACAAATTAAAGTGCAACTAATCCGCCATAGTCGAAGGCTCGACAAAGTATCAATCGTTGACAACCAAGCAGCGAGAAGCCTGTAGAACCACGCCGAGACATCGTTCGATATCTGCATCTTAGTAACTTCCGCACGGAATCAGCCTATCCAACTCGGCACCGCTGTCTTAGGGCAAAGTCAATTTGCTGCATTCTCTGCCTCCGCTATTATACCTTCCTGTCGTACGCGGCCCGTCTATAGACGAGCAGGGGGAACCAACTCTACAGTTCCCCCCGTACACGGCACAATCTATTGGAAGGGTTGTATTTCACGAATGTTCTTCACATTGAAGTCATACATACATTTACTTTGGTCACTAATCTAAAAAAGCAAAGAATAATAGTTACAGTTTTGACACAGACAAAACAGCCTTCTTCAATAGCAATTTAATGATAGTAGCAATTTTTAAATTCATTTCCAACTCTGATCAAGGCTGAGGTGCCAAGAACAAGTACGCAGCGGAGTAGATCTACATCTCGAGGCCTGGCCGGGGTACTGGGTGATGTTCTGGTGCCGACCGGAGAAGAAAAATCGCTACACGCACGTGCATGACGCAACCGCTATCGGATTACTTTCCAAACCTCATACGCGGCTGTCGGGCGAGCGTCTCACGCAAGCTAGAGAGTCGCGTACGCAGTTAAAATTAGGGTATGGGTTAGCCGCGGTAGTGGTCTGACCAAGCCCAATGCGTGCCTCCCCTCCACAGCCGGCGCCCATGTGGTATTTGCTGTGCAAAGCTGCATATCATACCACAGTACAGCACGTACTGTGCTGTAGTATTTTATTGTAGCCAGGGCGGGCCATCCTCCACTGTAACGCTATCAGCCAACGGGGCTGACAGCGCACGTGCAATACATGTGTATTTGCATGCGCTGTAAGATGTGCGCACGCTCTAAGGGCCGTACCTTACAGCGAGGGATCTAATTGTAAATCTAATCTCATTCGGTTATGCTACACGGCCCCCTCCTTAAGAGTGAACATCTGCGTTGACGCGTTTTTGAAGGACCCCCTGCTTTCCTACGTCCCATTCTATCCCTCCTCACATTTCTTGCAGTCATACGTCCTTTTCGCGGTGTCCCGCTTGTTACGCTGTCGCGCGCCTCGCCTCCATGGTCTCTTTCTCCTGTGGGTCGTTGTCCCTTCTCTGCCGGTTCGACCTCAGCGTCCTCTTGCGGCGGCCATCCATCTTCCGTGGCAGACCGCCCAGGAAGCGCCGCAATCCGTCGCGCCGTTTCGTCCCCGCGTGACCACTCTTCGGCCTCCCCGCCTCATTTCGTCGCCTCATTCTCGGCGCCGGCTTCGGGCGCTGCCAAGCCCTCGTCCATAATGGACAATCCGCCATTCGCGGCG